GGTCTGGAGATGTCTGGAGTCCCGAGCTGCGCCAGGCACTAAGCAGCAACCCAGAGAACTCAAATTAGACTATGGTCCGTATCAAGTTGCAGGTGGGTAGGTTCCCTTAATTATGAGTTTCTTGTAAGAGGTTTACATCCGCATACTGCTTACAGGAGGCTCATATATAAACAGTAGCGACCCACCAGAAAACTGTTTCTACCATTGTTTTCAGTAGCAGCCTGGTTCACAGTTTGGTCTCCATAATTGTACATTGTTGCGCGCGCCCCCTCGGCAGCCGGGCTGGCCCAACGCGGGATGTAACGTGCCCATCTCCTGTGTCAACTTGGTGCAGCAAAACAAAGGGAGGTTTGAAGGGGGCCCAGGGTCCCACGGATCCCAGAAGGGGACGTCAGGGGACGGGGGGCGGGGGTGTGCGAGAAATTTCCGATTTGGGAAGGGGAAGGAGACCAGAGCCTGGTCTGCTTGTTTTGGATGCCTCTCGGCTAGAAGCCGAGAGACGAATTAAATTCAACATGAGCGAAATGAATTCGCCCCAGAATACGCTTGTTTTTCGTATTCGTTTGCACTCACCTTGAGGTGTGCGCACAACACAGCTGTGTAGTGCGTTTGCCAGCTACTGAAGACGCCATGTGAAGAAATTGCATCTTCTTAAAGTCTCGTTTCAGAAAACGGCAACGATTTGTGTAGAAAGTACAGTTTTGAATTACACCTGTGCACTTGCAGGCTTGGGCAGTGCTTGTGGGCACTACGAAAGCCTTGGGCCAAGCAGTTATATTCTTGCCATATCATATGCAGCGTCGACTATGCCCAGTTTGCATAGAGTTCGTATATATGTGCAGCATGTAACGAATGCATAGCGTGTCTGGTGAGATACTTTACATCGTGAGGCACCAATTGCCTCGGTAGTGGCCACGCATCTTCGCATCTTGGCTAACCGTCGATGTCTTCAAGTTGTTCTTGCTGCACTTGCGTACGAGTGCTGCAGTCGTCCTAATGGGTTGGAAGTCCTTGTTCGTTGAACGATTCGCTGTGTCACTCACGGTGTAATGTACATGGCAGGCCTTTAAATCCGGATCCCAAGACAACAAAGCTGATCCTTATGGGCGGCGGCGAAGCCCGAGCCTCATCTGGCTGTCGACCTGTCATGCGTCCGCTCCGCTGTCTACCGCCACAGTACATGCTGGCCTTCCAAAAAAGCCGCATGGCCACCGGAATTCACTCGGTGAGCCTTTGGCGCGTCAGCAGCAGCTCTGAAAGTACAGCTGAGGATGGAAAAACCGGAATTCTGAAAGGAAGCGCCATATCCGAGAACGTGATGAGCTTTACACCTGGGCATTTTGCGAAGCAGCGTTTTGTTGCGAGTAAAGCTCTCCGACATCCAGCAAGACTCGTCAGCCTTCGTAAGCTATTTTCCTCCTTCATGGTTCCTGATCCTTCATTGTTGCCTTGCGCTGAAGCCTGTGGAGAGAGCGAGACTAGGCATATATAACGGTCAGTGTTGGTCAGCGAAATCAATCACGAAACGTTGGCCACTTCCCATTCACAAGCTGTCCAGGCTAGCTATTATGCTGTTGTGCGCTGTTGAAACCGCAACCTTCAACCCTCAATAGTCGGTAAAATGCCCTTTCAATCCTTATGCTCCTGATGCTTTCCAGATCGGGACTGGCTTTTTTAGCGTTGACTTTGTTGGAGACTGCCGAATATTCAGGGCTTAAGGTATCTCGACTATTGGCTCATGGCTCTGACGTCCTGCACTTGAAGGAATTTCACGACCGTCCCAAAGCCCGCCCCCGCTCGATCAGCACCAGTCGTTCTGAATATGCAAAAGTTTGATTCGCAGCAAGACCACTCTACAAAGAAATCGGCACTGAGAGCTTCAAAAGAACTGCGCGCACCGACTTGCGATTCCCGTATATCTCAAATGCGACTGAGAGATTGCGTGTCGCGGCCTTAGGCTCCCACATGCTCCCACGAATGGTGGCTCGAGGGGTGCACCGACATAGCTGAGTAGCTTGGCTCGGCGCGGCATCCAAAGAGACTCTGTGACCGTAGCTCCCGTAGTAGACCTGACAATGTTGACCAATCAGGAGCTCTTCTTCGAAGCCATGCAAGCATGCCATCGGAACAGCGACAGCATCCTGGCCTTGGTGAGCAAAGTCTGTGCCAAGATGAGCCTTGAAGATGCTGCCGCGCAGTGCGATCAAGTCCGTGAGGACTTGAACTACACGAACGCAATCTTTGCAACTTTGAATGATGCTTGCATGGCGGACCTGTCGCAAGTCTTGGCTGATATGAAGAAGTTCGCAGCAGAAGTGGTAGCTCAGGACCGATCTGCGTAGATTCCTTGCCTGTCGTGCCGTGCATGTTGGAGCTGCATTGGTTGGTGAATGTCTTAGTGCCCGAGATTTTGTAGGTCTGCCGGCCGTCTTTGAATAAGTATTTTTTTGACTTGCTCAAGTACTAATTGCGCAGGAGGTGCAGAAGAAGATGTTTTTGCCTGGTTCCCAGGCTGGTGCAGACACTGATTCCTCCAGCCCTCCCGGCTTGGACCTGGATGCCTCCAAGACGGACACTGCCCAGAAGATGGTAGTCCCTTACGACACGGAGATGGAGGCTTTCAAGGCTGCCGACGCCTCCATGAAGCCGGTTTGTGATATGGCTTGGGCCCCGCATCTGGAAAAGGATAGCTGGAGGGGTCAGATGGACGAGGACATGCGCAGCCTGCGCGAGCAGCTGCAGAGCTTGGCAGAGAAGGTGGATGCCAACGCAGCTAGCATCCAGTGCCCCCTGCCTGCAGTCGCTGCAGTCCTGTCCTATATAGGCTTGCCTCGGCCATGCGTGCGTCTCACGCCTCTGGGACCTTTGTGTCTTTGCTGCCGAGGCTATGTGGACGCTTCGACATCAGTTGTGTTCCAGCACGTCGCTGAACTCGCTGAGAAACACCAGCACCGCAAGGACCTGGAGGCGACTGAGACTATCCAGGGCGCGACACCGAGAGGGATGTGATTGGACATTCTGTAGCCGCCATGCTCGGAAGCTGGTACACTCGTGTAGCATGGTCAGGTCACCGCGACATGCACCGTCGGGAGATTGAGAACAGGCAGGTTCAGGGAGCGCAGTATTCACTTTAGAGATCTGTAGAGTTTGTGCGGAGAAATGCAGCGACTGTGCCAGGACCGCCCAAATGGAGGCTTTCATGATAGACGAAGATGGGCTGCTGTCATGCGAACAGTCTTGCCATTCTTGCGTGCACGTTTCTACTGACACTTTCTGAGGCTGAGTGCGTGGTAGTGCCTCATGACAAGCCTCATGATATTTCGGTTGCTGCTACCACACGGCTACCATGGCCGTGATGCTGCCATCACCACTACCGCCACCAAAACGTTTCTGACAGAGACGGTGACTGCAACCTCGATTACAGGTGAGACTACAACTATATACGGCTTCGACAGCGACGGACTAGGAATACGCGGCTTGAACTACAAGTCTTCGACAGCCGTTCCTTTTGCAACTGCCGGAGAGACTGTGACAATACGTCATTGCGACTGCAGCAGCACCCACAATCACCGCCACTGCCACCCTTGCCCACCCTCGCTATCAGAATGTTACACAAGTGAATGGCTCTTTTTGCATTGGTGCAGTTTTTTTGATCTCTCCATGTGAAGCATTCCTGGCAGGCAGAAGGGTGGGAGGAGGACTGCCCGGCTGGGGCCACGTGAGCCCCTGAGTTTCTCTTGAGACCTTTCTGTGCTGTAGTTTGAAGATGCTTCAGAACATGAAACAGCTGTCGGCAGTGGCATGGGTGTGCCTCAGGTGCTCGGTGAAGGCTTTCCAGGCTGGAGATGCCGCAAGCAGCAGCTCGCACCCTTTTCTGGCAACGCTGTGCACGCTGCCGTTTAAGCTTAAGGCTTGCAGCTTGTCAGGTGCATAAGGCATGTGCGCGCCCATGTCTCGAATCACAAATATATATGGCGTTGGGTGTTCTCGGGGACCTGGTGAAGGGCCCCATGACACTTTCCGAGCAGATCTTGCAAGATGGTACCTTGACGGCTCGTATAGGGAGCTTTGGAGGCAACAGCTGAACCTTAACAGTGGCAACATATGCGGAGCTTGACATTCATGCCAGACGTTGATGACAGTGCCTGGACTTTGGTGTGGGGATTTCCGGCACAGGAGTTTGCATGGATCGCTCTCCCCGACTAGCTTCAGCAGAAAGTAGTCTTGGAAAGGGACGATCTTTCGTGCCTGAGTTCTATGGTCAGGAAGGAGCGGGGGCGATACGTCAAAGCAACAAGCCCTGAGCGTCTGTACTTTACACGCGTGACTGTATGCTGCTAAGGCTTGTTGATGTCCAAGAAAAATATCATCGAGATGCCTTGTGAACAAATCGGCAACACCTGGAAGCTGCTTTCCGTGTTTTTTGCGATGGGCAAGAGTTTCTTGCGGAAGAAATCCGGCAGCGGAAGCAAGAAGCTCGCACTGCAGCTGCCGAGAGATTGCTGGACATCGAAGCAGTGCAGACGAAATTGGAAGGACTGCGGATTGGTCACCGGTGGACTGGAAAGCAAGCGTTCATCGGCAGGAAAAGGGCAAGACTCGAATAGGCAAAATATGGCAACAAACATTCCCTGTTGTTCCGAGGCTTTGTAGGGCCATAGCGAGACAGGCCCTCGATGCGAATTCACAATTCCAGAAAGTCTGCTTGGCCAAGTGGTCTTCTTGGGCGTCCTCTTCGCATCGCTACCCTTTGGCAATGCACCCTGTTGAGAACGGTAGCCCGTGAAGCATGGAGTTTCAAGATTCCGACGGTTGTCTGCTTGTGGCGTGATCAGCAACCTCGCCAAATTGTTTCGCTGCAGTTAATGCCATTCATGCTTTAGAACTATGGCAGTGCTCCCGTGCCTGTACAGACGACGAGCCATGTTGCGCATGTTTTTGTGACGTGTGATGTTCGCTGGGCGAACTTTGGTTGGGCCGACACGTGCCCCGACAGGTTGTCGCTAATTGAGAAGGGGAGAGAGCTTTTTCTGTTAGTTAAAAAGAACCCCGTGGACGCGACTGCGCATGGAGAGCAGCTGCAGAACGCCAAGGCAGTGGAAGCACTTTCATGCACACCTGTGAATGTCTTCTGTTGCAGGTCAATGGTCTGGAGATGTCTGGAGTCCCGAGTCCCTATCCTAGGGGCGCGGGACACCGCTTTTGACCCCTTCGGGGGCAATTGAGCTGTCTGCGCCAGCAACTAAGCAGCAACCCAGAGAACTCAAATTAGACTGTAGTTCATAGTCTTCAACAGCCTGGCCCACAGGTTACCGCAGCTCCTTCTCATTGCATTTAACACGTGTACTTAAAGAGAGTGAACTGCTGAACTCGCCCATCATACACTTGTATTTCCTATTTGATTGGCTTTCACCTTGCTTTGCACACAAGACAGCCAATTAGCGTGTTGGTAAAGTAAGGCACTGAGGAATGCATTTTGAAGTGGCGTATTCTTACTCTCGCTTAAAGGAACTGGCCACGGGCGCCGTCCCGTTGGGGTCAGCAGATTATTGTTGTCTTTAGTCTTTAGTTTATAGTTGTATGTATGACTTTTCCTTTTATTTGTTTGTGTACATACAGTTCTATATTGCATGTGTGCTTGCAGGCTCGGGTGAAACCTGGGAGCAGTACGACTGCCTGGGGCCAAGCAGTGGACGTGCAAAACAAACGTTCTTCTGGAGCTGAAGAAACTCAAAATTGCCTATGTGCCACTCGCGCTCGGTGGTAATCTGGGGTGCTTCGGGAAACATTCCGTTCCTCCTGCTTGTTTCCTGTCAGAACGTAGACGTGTGCGTGGTCTTGTTTCTGTTGCAGATTGTTGCAGATTGTATAGCCAGGTTTGCGGCACCTGCTGGGTTGAAAGGACCCTTGAATCACTGCGCGACCGTAGTGGTTTCATATTTCGGCTTATGGCAGCAAAGGCATGGGTATGTCGCGGAAGCGCCATGACAAACGGATCGCGCGTGGAGGTTGTTGTGCCTGAAACGTATACATACTGCACATAAGACGCCGTGTTGCCGCAAGTCCAGGCATAGTAAGATTGCGCGAGCTTGCGCGCGTCACACACAAAGATGAGTCTACAAGGACACCATCCTGAAATCACATGGGAACGCATGACACGCAGAGGAGTGAGAGAGCGGCGTGCACCAATCGTGATGTAGTAGGCATGTTGGCTGTCATGATTGTTGGGCCATGATGACATGGAATGGGTCCTCGTCAAATTCAGACAGAAGTACCGCGGGAGCCAAAAGCGTGGTCGCAGGGTTTCCATAGGCGTAGCCATGCGCGTGAAGCCAGACACGTCACGCCTGCAGTGGGAGGCCAGTCTCACTGACGCTCCACCTCCCGGACTGGAGGCAGAGAGATTCTGCAGGGTTGATGGGAAAAGGCAAGCGCCAGAAGTCCTTCTCGAAGCATCCCGAAACTGAGATCCCAAAATTCTTCGGAGTCCAGACCTGGTGGATGATCTATGTGACTGGTTGCCCCGGTTGGTTGAGTCGGTTGCAGTACCTAGTGAGAGTGTATCAACCCCTGCCTCCCTGAACCCTATACCGCTGAAGGTGGCATCATCCACGCCGCAATGCCCGGGCCAGCCACCCAGAGAGCCCAATGTTTTTTGTCTTTAAGAATGCGTGGAGGGAGCGAGAGCTGAGCTGGAACCAGGCTACACGTTGGGCGCCAGCCTAGGACCCGGTCCATAGAATGGGGTGATGAGAGCGTTCCATGCTCTAGACTCTAGACGGGTGCTAGGCCCTTCTCAGATTTTTTGCAAGATCTAAATCGCAGTTGCGCCCGATCCACCTCATCATCGGAAATTTTGTCCTTGACTCAAAGTGTACAACTTCTATCTCCCTGGTTCGATCCGAGACCACCACAAGCAAGGCGTGGAGTCTGAGAACTTCGCAGGGGATGAGGTAGTCAGATACCCCATATCCCCCTACATGTAGGGTGCCTCATTCCCTAGCGAGGAGGTTATCGTAAGAGTGCGGGAGATTGAGTGATTAAGCCTGCGAGTCCATGGAATGCGCCCAAACGGCGAGACCACGCTGAATTTCGCATCGCATTGAACAACTGGCAGTATACGAGAGATTGAACAATGTCGGGAGGTTAAACGTTCGATCGTTTTGGAGTTGACTTGTTGATGAGGCTGAAAGTTTGAGAGCTTGTGGCCGTGATTTCATCCCTGAGCTGAACTTTCGGCATTTCTGTTTCGTGCCCACCGAACCTCGTCTCTAGGTTTCAGATAGCCTTATGCCCCCCAAATGCCCTCATTTCCTCTGATTCCCAAACCTCCCAAACCTCCACCTCGGAGATCTCAAACTTTCTACTGCTGAAGCCAGCTCAATCTCTGACAAGAGCTTGATCTCTCCAACTCCCAATCTCTCATGGGTCCACATGCCTTGCCGTATGAAGATGCGCTCTGCAGGAGACGGTGCCTTCGGAAAGGTCTGTGTGGGCGTGAGGGGCCACACAGACCTTTCCGTCGCTGTGAAGGTTCTTGAAAAGAAAATCATCCAGGAGGCAGGACAAGTAACTATACGGGAGTGGTTTGTTGCCTTACGTGAACCGTGAACCTTGCATGCATTGGTGCCAGCCTGATGACTGGGAGCGAGTTGATCGGGAGATTCAGCTTTTGGAGCTGAGCAGGCCCGACCACCATGGACCATCATCCAAAAACAAGTTCTGGGCACTGAAGCCCCGATAGCCGTGTCGTAGATGTAGTTTCCTGTGCGTTTTGCAGAGAGAGGTGGTTGTGGTTGTGGAGTGGACTTGGATGCAAGCTTCTAAAGGGCAGATTTTCAGGAACCACCCCAACGTGGTGAACCTCTTGGAGGTGATCAAGACCCAGGAGCAGCCAGAGCCTCTGAGAGAGTCTTCGCGGTTTGGGCCCAGTTTGTGGAATGATTGTGCTGTGTTTCCTAGTAACCTCATGGACTGCGTGGTACGGGGCTGACGTGGCAAAGCGCTGGCTCAGCACCGGGCTTTCTGGGGTTTGGTCGGGGGTGCCACGGCCGAGCAGCAGGCCTTTTAATTTGGTGCTGCAAGCATGGAGTAACTCTGCCATGTCGTGCGGACAGTAAGCACCTTAGCTGGTTGTTTGCATCATGCCGGCGCACGTTCCGCGTCACGTTGGGAAAGAGCGACGGATCGGTCTGTAGACTTGGCAAAATTCGTCCCCAACCATCTCCTTAACTCTCAACTGGCATGCTGTGGTGTAGCATGGTGTAGCCCATGGTCCCGTCCCGAGTCCCATGCAACGCTTGTCTTGTTGGCGCCGAAGCTCGCAACCTGTCTGTCCTATCTCTCTCTCTCTCTCGCTCTCTCCCTGCCTCCCTCCCTCTCGCTGTCGTTGTGGTTTTGCGGTTTTGAAGAGCCTTGACCGTCCGAAATTGTCACAAGATCTCGTGTCTTTGTAACGCTGGCAGCGCCAGCGACGTGACAAGTGTTCGATTCGTTGCACGTCTCTGCAGGCGTTGGTAACGTCACGTAACTATCACTAGACGCCCTGCCTTTGGTATATTCCCGACAAACAGGCCGCCCTCTGTGATCAAAGATGATGTTGCCTGAAGAAGTGTTGGAATTAGTTTCGTTTGTTGCCGACTTTGTCGAGTGAGTTGGCCGGTATCCCCGTTCCAGAAAGCCAGTTCTGTTTTCTTCCGAGGGTGTTTTTGGTCATGGAGTTTGCGCCCGGCGGTGACCTGCGCAACTACATTGTCCAGAGCCACCGCATCGCAGTGCCTTGTCTGGAACATCCAGCGCGCTGCCAGTCACGTTAGACCTTAAATATTAAATACACTAGAGCTTCCACTTCCACTGCGTCAGGAACCGGAAGCGCGCAGCTGATCGCTGGCGCAGGGCGCTCGGACAGTTTGACGGGACCAGGCTCCCAAATCAGGTCCTTGACAACGCGTGCCGAAAACCTCATGCTCCGAGCACCATGCCAGGCAAGTCACCTCCACGAACTCCGCATCGTGCACCGCGTGGGAAGCTAATTTGCCTCAGCACGACTGATTGCAGGATCAGACCGTGCAATGTTGGGCAGGGGGCCTGCACGCAGTTTGGATCGAGGACTTGAAGCCCGAGAACGTGCTTCTTGACGAGTGCCGATCTTAGCCAACGGATGTCATGCAAGAGCTGATTCTCGAAATTGTTCCCCTGTCACTGTGAGGCACAAGCTCCTCAAGATCTGCGACTTTGGCCTTAGCAACGCTTGCTGCCCAGCTTCTGCGACTTGTGCCCCAGACTCGCTTCAGCACTGTGGACAAAGCAGCTTTCGGCCCTGCCGCAGCACTTCTCGGAGATTCTCGTCACACAATGTGGCACAAGCTGTGAGGGGCTCGGGCGGCCCGGGTGCACGGTTGAGCCCAAACGGAGACTTGTTGCTTTTTGGGAGTTCGAGCGTGTCTGGGTCTTTACACCAGCCCAGCAAAGAGCATGGGGAGAACAGAGCTCTGCGTAACGAGTCCAGGCCTGGTCGCGAAGACTTGTGCAGTACAGTCCTGGAAGCGCTCTTTAAGATCACCAATGCAACAGTGTCATGGCTGGGTGCAGATATGAACAGGCGAGAGCTGAAGAGAAACGAGGGCGGGATCAACAAAACACAGGTGCATGTCGATCTAGAATACAGCAGGCGAAGCAGAAACCCGCGCATACAACAGAAGTACGATGAGCGTGCCAGGAGAGAGTGCCACCTACAAAATCAATCAGACGGATCGTCATCCCTCGAGTGGGGAAACAAGATACATGAGGGCACCGCTCACTCTCTCTCTCTCTCTCTCCCCTTCTCCCCTCTCCCCCCCTCTCCCTCCCTCTCCCTCTCTCTCGCCTGCTTCTCTTGCTGCTTCCTTGTTTTTTCTGGCATTGGCATCCTTCCTCTTTGGGATGTTGGTGCGCTCTTCGGAGAATAAGCTCCACAAAGGCAGCCTTGGACTGAGCGGCATGTCAGAACAATGACAAGGATCCCCGATACTTTTAGTTCAAAGCTCTACACCTACAGCCACCCTCGGTACCAATACTGAGATGCATAGAGCCGTGGTGCAGCACACGCCGCATATGCTTCCAGCTATTAGGTTGGGGATACCAGGTTATCTTTACTGTGGTGTGTGAAAGCGTGCGTGTTTGCGCCGAGTTTAACCTTCCGATCTGCCTCGATTTGACCCCTGCAACGTGTCGCGTACGGTGCCAGCTAGGCGGCAAAACAGGCACCAACCTCCCCCGGCTTCTCTGAGTGTGAGCGATTGGGTAAGCCGTAAACCATCAAAAGGTGTTGGAATCCGTTGCTTAGCCACTGACAGTAAGGCTACGTAGCTCCAGAGATCATCTTGGGTGAAGGCTCCGGGCTGAGACTCGTGGTTTAGGGATGAAAAAGTTTTTGGAGCTTAGGGGCGCAATTTTTTTGCCCAGATTAGAGTCCCACTTAAAGCGCCTCAGGTTATGTTCCGCCCAGTTGCAAATTTTGGAGCTTGGGAGTGACATTGTATGCCAGGACCTCAGCGTGTGTCCGCACCTGACACCTTGATGTATGTAGTTTGGGTGAGAAAGTGCGTAATGTCGGACGGGAGCATCGATACCAATCGATACGTTCAGGGGCTTCAGGAAATGGAAAGAGCTCTAGATGTAGATGATCACAAGGTTGGTTGCGAGGCGTGCGAACTCGACTTGCGGAGAGCATATGTACGTGGGGTGCTGTAACATGGTGTAACTATTTGGATGAGGTAGGTGATTGAACGGAACCCACCCAGTACTGTATTCTGCGTTAACGTCACTGTTGGACACCGGATCCTGAAAGGCTTCTGAGAGATTAAGTGAGCATGTTGTTTGGCAAGCCCCCGCAGCGGCTTACAAACCAAGCTTTCGATATCTTTCGATAATCGCACACCCGTTGTGGTCGCGTGTTCGCATCGGCAGTTTGTTAAGCGACACCTTACAACCACCGAAAAAATCAGAGTTTCAGAAGATTGCCCATCACGATCACAACACGGATGCTCACGGTGTGTAACGACCCAGTGTTATGATAAGTCTTCCCTTTAGGGAAAGTACAATACAAGACTATCGATCATGTGTGGGATTTCCACACAAAGGTTGATTGGCAAAGGGCTACAAGTTGCGAATCATGCAGCGCGCCCGAGAGCTTCTGAGACAACAGAGGCGTGCCAATGCATGCCATAGAAAAGGGATTTAAGTTTTTTAGGGCTCGCTGCGAATGGCAAAAAGATGTAAAACAAAGAAAGCACAACCCGCCTAGGTTACTCCACAAAACGAACAAGACGACAAACAAGACATAGCGCTTGTGTTGGAACAGCCTGCTGAGGTCATGATGTGCGGCCAGTTGCCATTTGAGGACCTCCTTGATGTGACTACCCAGGGGCTTTCTGTTTGAGCCCCGTGAGGATGCAGACATCCAGCAACTCTTCAAGAAGATCCTAAGTGGGGTTTACACCACGCCGGCTTTCGTCACGGACCGGGCGAAGGACAGTCAGAGTGCAGGGGGGCATCGAGGATGTTGCCCAATTGTTGGCGGACAAGCAGACTTGGGGTCAAGATGAAGAATCGATGTGCGGAGGTGGAGGTGGAGGCTAGTTGTAGCATGATGCAAAGTGCACAGGGAGGGGGTAAAGTGTCTGCTGGGATGTTTTAACTACTTTTGCTGGCATATGCTCTTTACACGTGCTGTGTTGGTTGAATGAATCGCCATACCATCTCAAGTGCCGAGCACAAAAGAGTGCGAGTGCACTTACCGGTGTTTGTAGGAGTAGAGAGCTGAAACCTGTAATTTCATGATATAGTGTTCAGGGCCACAGCAGGAGTATGTAGCTTTCAAGGCCAAGCCGTCATCGTCGGTGTCAGGATTGTTCTTGGCAGCTTGCACATCGCCGTCTCAAAATTGTACTGCTGAAGCCCGCCCTGTTAGATGACAGCAGAACACACGTGCGTGAAGCCCCGATCCTGCTCAGCACAAAGGATCTTCTTGCTGGTCTCCTGAGGGTAGACCCAGCAAGGCGCTTCACAACGATGGATGCCTGGAACCCTGACTTGCTGATGTCGTGTGTCGGACGAAACTTGCCGGTGTGCCAGAACTTTTGCTGACGACGCAGCAGCACTCACCGAGGTGCGCGCTGATCCCTGGTTCGAGGCCTTCGTTTGTGTTGCATTCGTTCTGGATCCCCTCCATCCAACGCGCGAGCTCCTTAGTTGTAGCTGTGTAGCTAACCGAAAATCACCGGGTGCGATTGTCACGATGTGATACACAGTGTCAGCACGGAGACGGTAGATTTCAATTGGAAAACTCCAGCCAGAATCCATGAAGCTGCGTAGGCGTAGGCAACCCATGGTCACATGGCGTCACAGACTCGGCTGGAACTTTGCAGGCGATGGAACCCCAAAGTAGGTATATGGAAAACTCTTTGGGCCCTGAATACATACTACATCACCAGATGCACCCTTTGGGTCTGTATATGGTAGTTTCCCTTAATATAGACCCCAAAATAATGTGATCCCCCAGAGATCCTCCTAAAAGTTGAGCAACCGTCGTCTAAACCTCTCAAAAAGGGGTTATGGGAATTACGTGGGGCACTGCTATACGGGGCATGAAGGTGGATACTAGCAAACTACACTATAGCTCATATGTATGCACTGAATGAGCAGGAGCCGGGCGTCACTGCAATGGCAAGCGATGCTGCGTCGCCTAAGGTAACAGCACCTGTGGCAGCAGTTGTGTACCTGAAGAGTCCAGTAGTTTGTACGGGTTATTTAGAGGGGTCTCTATGGGGTTATATAGAGTTTCACAGGGTTGCCCATCCAGAAGCCAATGTAGAATGTAGAGGCTTCAAACTTGGCCAAAGGATTTTAAGGTTTTAGTCAGGGAGATTTGACAGCAGATAGCCCTGCAAAGGCGACTGCCCTCTCACTAAAGGGTCTATGTGGAGTTCCATGTCTGTAGGCGAAATTAGTACGCCGCCTTCAAATGCCTCGGAGGCTGAGCCGTGAAATCTTCAGTAACAACTAAGAACCCGAAACCCTAAACCGCTGAAACCCTAATCCAAGAAGGTCCACATCAGCCCTACCAAGTTTTTTTCAGCCCCCAGCAGTCCCCAAGAATTGCCAAAAAGGACGTAATTTGGGGGCCATGCCCCTGGCAAACCCATGAGTTTAGAGATTAGGTCTTGGTGCTTGGTCCTAAACCCTAAACCCTTAAACCCTAGACCCCAAATCCTTAAACCCGAAACCCTAAATCCTTGTGCCCTAAACCCTTGATCCTTAAACCCTTAATACCCTTAAATCCTAAACATTGGAACCCTCTTTGTGGATTCCCCTAAAATTGGAAACTGGCATCCTTTAGACGTCCCAGGTGATACAAGATGCAATGGGCATCAAGGCCAACATGCTGTTGGAAGTTATCGGCCTACACTACACGATGAGCATGTTTGGGGCAGTAGTTTGCAGCATAATGCGATATACAGATTCACATAACTGCAACAGAAGTTGCACAGGGGCGGCAGACATGCGATAGAATATACCATATGAGCGCCCGACTAAATTTCCGTTACTTAGCGCAGGAACAAAATAGACATTATGTTATGTTTTGGCACCAAACCATGAAAAGCGACACGGTCCCCCCATAAAGCGATAACCCGATTATGGCTGTGTGCTAGAAAGAGTAGATTGCATGCCTGTGGGATAGTCGGATTGAAAGTATACCATATAGTATACTGTATAGTATATTGTATAATATACACGCGCAATATCCGTAACTATGAAGTCACCCTAAACCCTACTAAACCCTAAGCTTTAATTTAAACCCTAAACCCTAAACTTGAAACCCTAGCAGCTTGCTTACCTTGGAGCCCTTAACCCTGCAAACCCGAGGCTTAGAACTTAGGTTGTTTAAAATGCTGGAGCCAAAGAGCGACGCAGCGACGCAAGGGTCAATTTAAATTATCTTATACTATACTATAGTATTCTATATTATATACTGCACTGTACTTTACTATACTAGATTAAACTAGACTGTACCATGCTTCGCTAATGGTATACTATACTGTACTATACCATACGCTTTTCAGTATAATATACTTCACTATGCTATGCTTTCTATTTTACTGTACTATACTATTGAATCCTATAAAAGGGGTAAGGGCTTTTAAAGAAAATTTAGAGGGCCCAAACCCTATATAAGCCCCAGACCCTAAACTTTTAGGGTTTGTACGTCAATTTGTGTAGAGGAATTGCTACACCCTACAAATTACCAGATAGGATAACCTGTAAAGTAATAATACTTAGAGTCTGTATAGGGGCAGGGGCTAGGATTTATGGGATAATTCCTATAAGGTAATTCCTAAATCTTAAACCTTAGGCCCTGAACCTGAAACCCTGAACCCGAGGGCCTTACGGGAGGGGTTTAGGGTGTAGGAACTTGTAGATATAGTAGCCCATAAACCGCCCTAAGGGAAGGGTTTTGGACACAGAGTTCATGGTTAGCTCTAAGTACCAAAACCCATGTAGATGTAGAGATCTCTAGTGTGGCTCGAAAGCCACAGTGGCAGCACTGCACAGCTGGGCACCGCGCCTGCTTTGCTGACTCGTCGCTTGAGCCACCGGAAGGCGGCGATCTCGTGAGCTCCTCAGGCAAAAGGCTGGGGTTTCGTGAAGGAGCTTGGAAACACACCGGCAACACTCTCTATTACGAAACACAAAGAAAAAGGACTCGTGCTTGCCGGTGCGTTCCAGCAGTTTCTGCTGCAAGGCACGACCCTCCTCTACTATGGCCCAGTGCCCCGTACTGACAACGTGCCTAAAGTAGTGACCTGGCTTAGTTTCGGTTAGGGGGTCGGCAAGCATTGATCTTGTATCCACCCATCATCGGATCTTTCCGACGGTATCTGACAGGTCACTTTTTTTGACCGCCAGATCAATGGTTGTACGCTTGTCGCTTGCAAAGGCGACCGTGCTAGAGCACTTGTCAACGGCATCATACAAGCTCTTAGAATCCACGGCGGCCATGAACGGCAGCTTAGCTGTCTCGCGGCGCCAGTCCGAAGGGTTCATCATACCGTGAAAGGCTTCTAGCATAAAGAGCCGATGCCAGTGGACAGATCCTAGACCAGCCTGCAAAGCTTGTCCCTCAGCGGCTAAGGTGTCGACAGTCGTACGCTTGAGACGGTAGCTACGCCAGGAGGCTACCGTAGCCATTGAGGCTATCGTGGTAAAGAACAATTTGTCCTGCTTGGCTACAAAGATTCTGTATCTGTACACGGCTACTATGAATCTTAGAAGCCGGAGTTCCTAAAGTTCCCTCGGGGGCCTTTGTGAAGACGGTGCGTCCATGCCAACCCTCTTCTCTCAAAACCCGAGTGCCCTTGACATCACACCAAGTGTCCTTGACAGACTCGATCGGGAGAATCGGGTAACGTGATGAAGATCTGGACCGTCAGGAGCGGCCCCAGGATGGAAGGTCGTTCTCCTAGAGGTCAGGTGATGGCGGATCCACTGAGTCTGGGTCTCCTCCCAGTAGTCATCTTCCCCATCTTCGATCCAGAGCCGATCTTTGGCATTGCCCCAGGCAGCATCGGTGACGACAGAAACCCGAAGTCGTCGCCATGGAATTGGCATCACCTTCACCCCCAAGTTCTGATGCTTGCGGGCTTCCGCGGCAATTCGGTTGCCCTCCACGAGGTCGGCCACGTGGGGCTCTGGGAACGCCTGCTGCAAGAGAGCGACCCGGCCTGCGAGGTCGCATCGGGTTTCTTTAGCCAGCCATGACAAAATGCCAAGCTGACTGCGATGTTGTTCTACTTCCGCTGGAGTGCACTTGGAGAACCGTTGTTGCTTCCGTTTGCGAGGGATCTGGTTCACCAGCACCTTGTCGTTCACGTAAAAGGCCTGCTTGATGGTGATGGAGCCGTCCATCTCCAGCTGGATGTCCTTGCCGGTAAACCGGCCTTTCCCCTGTTGGTTCAACTTGTACTCCGTGGCGATCTTCTCGATGATTGCCCAATGTTCATCATCCCCTCCGTGCAACATATCATCGGTGGCCAGTCCGATGATGCCCTTGAGCGGCTGGTCGGAGACGTTGGAGTTTGAGTTGCCTTTGAGGTAGAAGACGCAGGGATCAAACTGGCTCATGTGGTAGCCGAAGTCCTTGACGAGGCAGCGAGTGAGGTGCTGGTACCAGGCATAGGGACCATCAGTCAAACCATAACAGGTCTTGAGAAGTCGAAGAAGTTGGCTTCGGTGGGCAATGCCTTCTGTCGGCTGTCGGCAGTAGAGCTCTCTCTGAATCGGGTCTCCGCTGTGGAAGGCCTGCTGGAAGTCCAAAAGGCTGGCGTCCAACCCATGCTGTCCAGGACTTGCGTCACGAAGATGACGGAGTCCCGCCGGATCTTCGGAGTCGTTGTGTCCACTTCGAGTGCCGAGGGATCGGAGAAACCTTGCATGACGCGGCGACATTTGGCTTTGCGAGTTCATCACCTTGTCGCCCTTGGTGGCAAGGATCTTCTTGGACTCAGCGGGAGACAAAAGCTCGTAGGCCCCGGTAAGGAGGTTATTCGTGATTTCTTTAGTAATCGCCCGTTGAAGGCGAAGCCGCGAAGCTCATCCTTTCCGGTGAAGTCTTTGGCGCGAGCCTCCTTGCGGGCTCGTTGTCGGATCAGGCTTTGGAGCTGGAGGTTGTAGATCTCGAGGAGTTGAAGTCGAGACCTCTTTTCCGGAGGCGGGCCTTCGGCTTCGGGTGCCTCGCGCTTGAGGTCAGCGCGAGGTGGTTCGATTTCCTCCGGCACGGGCTCCGTGTCGTTGAGGTTCTCGGTCTCCTGGACTGGCTGCCCAGAGGATTCGGACGGCATGGGAATGTCTCGGATGCCGGCCCCGGTGTCCTGGGTCTCGTAGTCACTGGGTTCGAGCTGCTCATTGCGGTGCTGCTAGTGGAGTGCTGCCCTGTGGCCTTGCATTTCTTGTAATCCAAGAAGTGCAAAAACAGCGCTTCGTCATTTTCCATGAAGTTCACGTCCTTGGTGTGCTGAGGGGCGGTCTTGGCAAGTTTTGCTGGGCATGCACGATGCCAATGCCCCACCTGCTTGCAGAATCCGCAACGTGTGCGGCGCTTCAAGGCCTCGATCGACACCTTGTAGCTGCCCCGAGGGAAGCCGCCGGCCGCAAAGGAGGAATCGGGTTTGCCGAACTTCCGGTCAGCGAAGCGGCCTGCACCATAGCCTCTGGCCAACTCCTTGGCCTTTTTGGCCTGGTTCACAGCAGTGAACGTGCGCTTTCCTCCGCCATTGCCGTGCGACTTCACCGTGGCAGAGAGAACCTCCTTGACCTCATCCTCGTCGAAGATCTGGCCGCTGTCCTCGTGGATCTGCTCCTCGGGGTCGTCCAGGGAGTGAATGGCATTCAGCAAGATCTCCAGGTCGCCGTCGGCTTCCGGATTCTCCTCATAATCCAGAAGGTCGTCATCCTCGGCCAAGAGCACCGTGCTGGACTTCTTGTCTGCGGAGGTGGTCGTGGCGGCCTTGTTGAGATCCAAGTTCGTCCCGTGAACGCGGAGCCATTCCTTGACAGCCTGCGGAGTCAACTTTCCCTGCGCGTAGTTCAGGAGCAACTTCACTTCCTCGGAACTCATTTTGAGGGCCATGGTCAGCAGGAAGCCGAGATAGTAGGAGGCAAGGTGATGCGATGTTCTTGGAGTCGGCGAACTGCATTGTCCCACTTCGCAAGAAAGGTGCGATGCTCCTCACCCTTCGCCCTGCGAAGACCGTAGGTGATCTTCACCAAGGTGGAGAGCATGTCCTCCCTCTCATCTTCGCCGTACAGGTCCTTGGTCTCCATGAGCTGGATCAGCTCCTCGCCGTTGTTCTCCTTCTGCATCCAGGTCTGGTCCTTGGCCAGGTGCTTGATCATCAAACGGGGTGCTCGTCAGGTTCTTCAGCAACATAGGACCCCTGGCCCTGGCCTTGGGACGAGTTTTGGTGGTGGCTAGCCACAACCGTGCCCGGATGGCGTAGTCCTTGAAACTCGTGGTTCCATCCCAGCTTGGAGGAGGACCGGCGTTTGACCTGTCCTCAGGTCGCTCGTCTTCTTCCTTTTCTTCGAGAGGCCGAGCACATCTGCGAGGTCCAGGTCTTCGGCGCTGAACGAAGCGCAGGAACTCCTCATAGTCTCCGTCATCTCCAGCAGGATCAGCCTCGGCGGAGAACGGTTCAGCCGGAGAAGCGCCTCGTGCCGATGTTGGAAATCTAGCTGAGAGAGAAGGGGAGAAGCCCGGAGGTGGATGCTCGTCTTCCGTTTCTGGAGCGGGAACTTCTTCAGCAACGGGAGTGCTTGCTGCCATGTGCGCTAGCAGAAAATCTCTCAGCTCTAGAGTGTAACCACTACACTACAAAAGCCCCGGAGCGATTTGGCTCCGCTACCACTGTGGCTCGAAAGCCACAGTGGCAGCACTGCACAGCTGGGCACCGCGCCTGTTTTGCTGACTCGCGCTTGAGCCACCGGAAGGCGGCGATCTCGTGAGCTCCTCAGGCAAAAGGCTGGGGTTTCGTGAAGGAGCTTCCGGAAACACACTAGGTAATAAGGAAATTCTTAACTCCCAACCCTAAATCCTCTATAGGGGGTAAGGGCTTTTAAAGGTAGGGCCCAGACCCTTAGCCTTAGACCCTAAACCTTTAGGGTTTATACGGTAATTTGTGTGGAGTACTTGCTACACCTCACAAAATACTATACAGGATAACCTATAGAGCAATGACCCTTAGAGTCTGTATAGGGGTAGGGGTTAAAACCCTTCAGCCCCCATGGGCTCTAGGGCTTCAGGGTCTAACCCCAGTACCTTATGGAAGGGGTTTAGGGTGTAGGAATTAGGAATTCTCTAAGGGCCCTAGGGGAAGGGTTTTGGACATAGAGTTCATGGTTAGGCCCTAAAACACCAAAACTGCGTAGATGTAGGGTTCTGAAAAGAGTCAAAAGGTAGGTCCCGGGGGGGGGGGGGGGGGGGGNNGCATATATATATATATATATTGTACCGTCTAGTATAATCTTATAGATAATATACCGCCAACTGTTTAGAATTCCACCTCATGGAAGCCATGCTCTTGGCCGCCCAGCTCCAGGTCTGTTCCTAAACCCTTCGAAATCGCTCCTTAACCCCCACACCCTAAGGATTAAGCCCTTGCAAACCCGTGATCCAGCCCAAATCTTGCATGGAAGCATGCAGACTGTATTTGCTGGCACTACTGGTAGGTTACAGAACTTATGTAAAGCGATAGGGTCCCCCCCATAAAACGACAACTCTTATTTCGTGTCCTTCAAGCCACACAATAAATTTAGTGCGCTGTTCATATGAATACGATCATTACATGAGTCGGGCATCTGGGTTGGATTCTCCCTAGATGCCTCACGACGAGTCTGTGTTGCAGGCGTGGGTGAAGCTCCAAAGGCGCCGCCAACGCAAAAAAGCGGTAAAGGGAAGGAAATGTTGTTTACTTTGCGCTTTGACGGGCTGTCTGCTTTCAAGTTCTGATGGGCAAGTGTGCCGCACATTTGGGACATTGCGGGGTTTTCCAAAATTGCCTGAACGCGGCAAGAGAACATGCTAGCTCTTGTGGTAGTGGCAATTGTACTGCACATTGCAACAGCGATCGAGGTTGTTTTCCAGTGTATAAGTAATGTTAGGGTCCCTTTAATAAA